TCATTGAATTGGGACTCTCTGCCTTTGTCCTAAATAACACAATCCACATAGAGCACTTTGTATGGTATGTGGCACACAGTAAATAATAAAGTTGGCCCATATTGTCGTTGGGTTCATTATTGTTCTTGGTGAGTCTTAAAATGATCCAGTAAGGTAGGTGGCTATGTAAGATAACTGAAGGTCACAGTAAACTGTTTCTTTCTTTTTTTTTTTTTTTTTTTTTTTTTGGTTTTTCGAGACAGGGTTTCTCTATGTAGCTTTGGAGCCTATCCTGGCACTTGCTCTGGAGACCAGGCTTCCCTCGAACTCACAGAGATACGCCTGCCTCTGCCTCCCGAGGGCTGGGATTAAAGGTGTGTGCCACCAACACCTGGCCAGTAAACTGTTTCTAATAATTACCCCCACAATCACACCGAATCCACAATGCACATTCATGTTACCATCTTTCACTGGTTTGTGTAAGGTAGGTACACAGTCACTTGCCATGTATCTCTAGAGATAAATGGTGGGCAGGTGGCCTGCAGATTGAACCCATAGCCTTAAATGTGCTAGACAAGCTTTCTACCACTGAGCTACATCCTCTACCCCAGGGGACTGTCCTCTCATAAGCCACAAAATGCAGGGGGAGCCTAGGTCACAGCTAGGCAGCATTTGCAAGTTGGGAAGTAACAAATATAAACCTAAATGAATTCTAGTGTATGCTCACAGGTGGCAATAACACAAGATGAGAGCCTGGCCATGCTGACTTCAAAGGTTCGAGGCCTGTGTGAAGGAATAACTCTGACCTTTGACAGGGCTGGACCCAAGACTTCAATCTCCTGGTAGCCAGGGCTAGGGTGGAAAAATCCAGGATGGGTCTCCCATGCCAAGCACTGTCCACCACAGCTCAGAGAGACTGGGGACTCCACTTCATACACTGCCTGATCCAGGGAATGCTCAGCCAGCCTTCCTTTACTGTTTATGGTGTTCCCTTATAGACTGTGTAATAAGTACCACATAAGATAGGGACATAAAACAACATCTACTTCATTATCCTTCATGATGCTATAAGTCCAGAATTCAGGCTGGGCTCTGAGGGTCTGCTCTTTACTCCCCAGTATCCATAGTCTTAGTTGGGCCAGCTTGAATGATTGCAGATATCAGGACGGCTCAGCCTTTGAACTGCCTAGGCCCTGGGGTTCTTCCATGTAAGGTGTGCAGAATGGCACCTTAAATCTTACACATAGGAGCTAGCCTGGGAAATGTGAGGTGGATTGACTGAGCCACTCTCGGTCCTTATCAAGTGGCACCTTCCCCTGGTTCCCTCAGCATCCAAGCATAGTGGCCTCAGGGTGGTCAGACTTCACACAGTACTGTGTCTCAAAGGCCCACACAGAGGCCACAAGACTCCTCCTGGTCTGTACAACAATAAAATTGTCTTTACATTACTCATAGTAATTAACATATTAATATAATGAATATCCCTAATGTATAATTAAGTCCCGCTACAATATGGTTTCTCTTTTGTCTTAATAGTGTCCAGCTCTCCTAAAAACCATTCTCCTTCCATTGTACACAGTGGGGATGACACAGGAGAGGCAGGCAGAATGACCCTGAAAAAATTACATAGGAACATGTATACTTGGAATGAGGGTGTGGCTCCATGGTAGAGCCTGCCCAGAGCCCTGGGAGATGTGAGGGAAAGCATGGAAGAGGAGACAGGGGGAGAAGAGAGGGAGGAAGGAGGTAGAAAAGAAAAAGGGAGTAAAAGTATGCCCTCAGCTCCAAGTGACAGCACCTGTCCCTGGCTGGGTCCTGGCACACTGAGACAAACAGTGCAGCTCTCAGTGCTCACGGGCCCCTCCCATGTTTCCATGCTTCCAACATTAAGGCTACAGAAAAGGCTGAATTACTAAAGAACATTCTAAATCGTCCTTTAAAAGAGCAAGACACGGTGGTCAGTGAAAGTGCACAACTTTAATCCCAGCACTCAGGAGGCAGAGGCAAGTGGATCTCTGTGAGTTCGAGGCCAGCCTGGTCTACAGAGCAAGTTCCAGCTCAGCCAGGACTACACAGAGAAATGCTGTCTTTAAAAAGCAAGACGTTTGTCATCCAAGCACTGGGGAAACTGATGCAGGATCACTGTCACAAGTTCAAAGCCAGTTGGGGGCTGGGTAGTCTGGTCTCCTAGCCACCTATTTAAAAGGAAAGGGCAAACTTCTAACTGTTTATCATGTGGAAGCTTTTGTTTTCCACATGGTAACCCACAGTAACCAAGCGAAAGTCTCAGTCGCTCCCATGAGCAGCCCTGACTTCCACGTGAAGGTGCTGCCGTCTCACACAGCTCTCACTTTCAGGAGCTTGTCTGAGGCTGATAATGAAGGAATCTGCACTCTAAGCTCACTGCACCATGTACTTGCTTGCTTAGATTCTCACCAGACTCTGAACAAAAAAGTGTCTGCTACATGTGCGGACACCAGACACTTTCCGAAAGGATGGCAAACAAGACTAAGAATGGCAATGCCCTCCTGACATGAAGGAAGTCAGAAGTCCCATTTGTCCTCCCCACCCCCACCCCGCCAGCCTGCCAGCACTGAGGCAAGGCTGACAAAGACTTGTGATGCATGAGCCAAGTGTAGGCAGAGGAAAGGGCTCAGCCCTCTTTGTGGAATGATGGCCAGTGCTGCCTCCCAGTCCTCCTCCACTATCATTTGTTGGTGTGTTGTTATTTTACTTGTCTGACTCATCCGTGGAGACAAACATGGCTCAGTGTTCTGTCCTTGAGGGAAGTGTGTGGCTTGGCTGTGCAAGGGACAGCATCAAATGTCCTTCTGCTAGGGGCTCAGAGATTGATTCACCCTCTGTCAAGATCATAGGCATTACCCCACTTGGTTCGAAGACTGTGGCTTTCCTAAAATCTAGTTGGTCTGGAGTTGGTGAGTCTCTTCCCCATGGCCTTGGAAGGCCATACCCTGTCATCCACCTTCACTGAGTGCCAAGGACAACAGCAGTCACCAACACTTCTCCCAGCATACTGGGAAGGCTTGGAGGGGAACAAGTACAGCAAATGTAGTGTGCTTTTAGCAGAAGCAGATGTATAGCACAAATAATAAAAACCCAGAGACAGATATTGGGGTTCGAGCTGAAGATCAGAAAAGCAAAGCATCCAACCACTAGAGAGTTCTTTTTGTTTGGTTGGTTGATTTTTTGTTTTTTCATGTTTTTGGTTTTTTGTTTTTTGTTTTTTTTCCGAGACAGGGTTTCTCTGTGTAGCTTTGTAGACCAGGCTGACCTCGAATTCACAGAGATTGGCATGTCTCTGCCTCCCAAGTGCTGGGATTAAAGGTGTGTGCCACCACTACCTGGCCTCTATGGCTGACTAGTCTGTCTAGCTTTTGCACTTCAATCTTCAGGCAAGCTTTATTTGTTAGATCATAAACAAAATATCACCACACAGAGGATAACCTGCAAAAGTGAAAAGCCATAAAGGAACACTGTAGGGACAGTCACAGAATTAAAAACTTGAGACAGATGGTGGAACGGTACTAAGAACATTCTCAGGTTCAGGTGTGACTCAACGTAGAGCATTTGCTAAGCGTGCATGAGGCCACAGGTTCAATACCCAGGCACTTTCTGTCTATGCCAGTAGGCACTCCCTTGTATGATGCATTCTGACCTCGGGATGTTGTGGCATTGTGGCTTAGATCCCTCCTTTGAGTGGCTAGTGCCATGTTGTCCCTGCGAGAGAAGATAAGGGGTAAGTTTCATGTGGGAGAGAAAGCAGAAATCAAAAATAAGTATTGAAGGAGGGCTGAAAGCACCCTGAGAGTGTTAGACCCCCGGAAAACTCAGGTATCTGGGGTCCCAGGCCACGACCGTGGTCACCCCAGTCACCAGGCAGATTCGAGAGCTTGCTGCAAACTGCATGAGGCTTTATTGTAATTTAACAAGCTAACCCCATGTTAGCTCGGGGCTTTTGTCCACCCACCATGTCGGTTGGCTACAAAAGACAGCTCCTTGGGGCTCCTGAGAGATCTTGTAGGGCAGCCTAAGGGGAGTGTCTAAGGGTCCGCACAGGCTCACGATTGGTGTGCCTCCAGGCTTGGAGGGTTTGCCCTGTGTTGATTGGTCAACTGGTTGTTATGGCCCATAGGCCCTCCCAGGGTGGTTGCTATGCTCTGTGTGTCATTGCTGTGCGACTGTCCTAAAGTACACCCAGGGTAGTAAAGCATAGCGCCACCAGCTAACTTCTGATTGGTTCCTTGTCACAAGGCAGACATCTGACCTCCTAGTGACTAAGGCAAGGTCAGACAAGCACGTGTTCGGCTGTTATGGCTGCCGAAATAGGGGGCTGGTCCCTTCAAGAGAACTGGTCAGAGGAAAGAAAGTACCTCCCAGGAGAGGTTTGGTGTGGCATCTTGGCCTGACACAACCTCGGGTCTCTTGGTGATTTGATGGTAAAATATAGAGTGAACCCTTGGGGAGTGCAGAAACCTTAAGAAATATACAGATAATTGGCTCTGTTTGAACAATGTTTGCATGCTCTGTGCTGCAACTGTGAGACACCACACCAGTCTGACTAATGCCTCTCCCCCCGGCCTAAATTAGATATTGATTGTGTTTCATATACATTCACTGAATCGCAGATGTTTGAGGTAAAAAGGACCCAAACTTCTCAGGAACACCTCCCATGAAGCGTGTGGGATCATCTACGCAGGCGTGACTCCACTACTAACCCCTTTCCACGCCAAGTTCCCAAGAACACAAAAGCCACCCCCAAGGGAGCTGCACCTAGAGAGCACCTGGGGCTAGCGGGCTGCATGGGGACTCTGTTTATAGGGGATTAATGGAGGAGGCCCCCCCCGCAGCTGGCTCCTCAATGACTGTTGCCCAGAGTTGCTCATAGATTTTCCCTGAGCCAGTAGAGCAAGTAGGTAAGGTCCTATGCTGCTCCTCCCCTGTGTCCATTCATTCTGATCCCCCTGAGCCAGTAATAAATGCTTTGTTTGTTTTTCTTGCAGAACTTAGCCTATGAAATCATCCTAACCCTGGGACAGGCATTTGAGGTCGCTTACCAGCTAGCTCTGCAAGCAAGAAAAGGAGGGCATTCCTCCACACTTCCAGAAAGCTTTGAAAACAAGCCCTCCAAGCCCATCCCCAAGCCCCGAGTTAGCATTCGCAAGTCAGTGGTAAGTAGAAGCCACAGGCATCTCTAAGCTTGCAGCCAGGGGGAAGGGGATTGCAAACAGAGCCCAGTGAGGTGGGAGAGGCCTTTAGAATCCAGCCCGCCCTCCCCTGTCCTTTCCTTTGGTCTCCTGATGGCATGTGACCATCGTCTCTATCCTGGTTTCTGCCATCTCAGAGAATCCTCTCCCCCACCCAAAGGTGCCAGAGAAAATCCCATTTTTGCTGCCACCTGCAGCAGCAGCCTCGTGAGAGCAGAATACTGGCTGCTGCTTGTTTGTCTTACCAGAAGGTCTAGAAAATTCTGGAGGCAGCTTTCTCTGAGGCCTCACCTGCCGTCCCATCAGGTCAGGCCTCTGCCCTCCAGAGAGATTTGCAGAGGCTGAAGGTGAGGATATTCTGGTACCCTCCTGTCAAAGGCCAGGTGCCACAGCTTCTGTGTCTTTCAAGAGGCCAAGGCATCATCTTGGAGATGCCTGGGCCACATCCTGTGTGCCTTCCCTCTGGACAGCTGAAGCTCTTTGCAGCCTAGTCACTGTTAGAAGGTGACACCCCCTCCTCCTTGTCATCTGCCTCCCTCCAGGAACTTCCTCCCTTCCCTCCCTCCCACAGGCTCTGCAGACATCCTGTCCCAACAGGCTGGTATGACTTCAAAGCGGCCGCCTCTGGTAGTAGCAACACCCCAAAGCTGGAAGGCTCCCAGCCAGCTTCCACCATCCTGCATCCTAGAATCTCTGGGATTGGCACCGGGCAGGCCCCCAGAATGCATTGCCCCCTCACCCTGCAATCTTTCCATCTGCCACATTCTCCTCCCAGCAGCTCTCAGCCTCCGTGTCATGAGGAAATAGACATTTTTAACCTTCCTTGGTGACGATCTGGCTCCTGGTTTATACTTTGGGGCCCCTCTCCTGTCTCTGTTCTTGCTAACTTCCACACCCGGCCCCGGGGGTGGGGGGGATGACCCCTCAGCATCTGGCCTCTTCACCACCCCCAGCAGTTTCCTTTTCCACCCCAAAAGGGAGCTTTTCCTCAGCTGGTTGCTCATCACCTGTGGCTGTCCCTCTCAAACCCCACACTACACCCCTAATCTGACCTTCCTGCCTCAGGACCCACCCAGCCCATGCTCCCGGCTCTCTATCTCCCGTCCTGACACACCCCAAACTTGGAAGCACCTGTTCAATCTGATTTTAAGCATCTCCACTTTCATGTTCGGCCAACACAAACCCTTGCTTCTCTCCTCTCTCTTCTGGGCTCAGTAAATAGCACAAGCCTCATCATGCTGCCTGTACCCAAACCCACAAGTCATCTTGACTGCTGTTGTATCCACACCTCTACATTCAGCCCATGAGCACAGTCCCTTCTCTGTTCCCCTCGTACACACCTCCAGACTGCCCACCCCTCTCTACTTCCTCCATCACCCCCCTAGGCCAAGCCCAATGCCACCCCTCCCAGTCACTCCCTTTCTCCACTCACCACACTTCAAGGCCTTGACTCTACACTGCTCTGTCCTGCTTAAGCCTCGGTGCCACCTGTTCCCTTCACCAGGAATGCTCTACTCCACCTCCCCTAACCCCACTCCCCATCTGCATGGTCCACTCCATGGTATCATTCAGGTCTCAATTGCATGAAGGAGCTTTTCCTGGCTGAAATACATGCCTGGTCACTCTGCAGCCCCTTTTCCATTCTCTGTAGTATTTACTAAGGGTTTTTTTTTTTTTTTCTTACCACTTACTTCTGCCTCTCTTCCTCCATAAAAATATCTGCTCCATGAAGTACACTGGCATGCTGCCACCCCAGGGCCAGGTCCGTAGCAGGCACTTAGCACACATCTGTTCTTAAAGAAATGAGGTCCTGAGGGTGGATTTAACGACTGTGTCTTTGGGTCTGATTAGGCTTCTGAGTGCCCAGGAATGCACAGCATGTTTGTCACTTAGACTACTATATTCCTTCTCATGTGGGCTGGGTAAGTCTGTTCACTGCGGGCGCCTCCTTTCGGCTTACTGTGGTCCACGTAGAATTCTTCCAGAAGAGCACAGAGACTTTGCTGCCATAAGGGCTCATAGAATATTCATCTAGACGCCCTCTCTGGGAAACAGGAAAATACTCAGTGAAGAATGCTAATGTCTTTACCTGGCTCAGGATCCAGCCCCTCACCATGCTTCAGTATTCCCATTTCCTCAGCTCTGGTTGTTTACTGTTAGGAAATAGTGCTCCTAAGACCGCAAGGGGATTCTTCCCTCTGCCTATGGAGACACAGTGGAAACACAGCAGAAGGCAGCCCAATAGGTACAGAAATACAGACCCTCCCTGCAACCTCCAGCAGGCTAAAAAGCTGGTAGAGGAATACTGAGCATGCCTTCCAGAAATTCCTTGGCCCAATTTACAGAGCAAAGTAGATGGCCAAAGGAGGAGAGAACCATCAGGGAAAGAGCTTAACTACGGCCAGTCAGAGCTCATCAGACCTTAGCTACTGCCCAGGGAACTGCCTGCTTGGCTTTATGTACAGGACAAGGACAGAGGCCTTGCAAGGCCCAGCCTCACAGGCCCTTGCTGACCTCTTCCCTTCCTCTGTCTCTGGTCCATCTCCCCCTGGGATCTGTGCCTGCCTCTGTCCACCCCAGTACCTCTTCTTATCGTGGTGGCCTGCTCGTTGTTTTAACAGTAGTTATTGACGGTACAAGTATTTACTGTATGCCTGCTTTGCATCAAGAAAGCATCAAATCCCACCTTTATGGGCATCCGTTGCGGAGAGGGAGTAGACAGGAAGTCCGCTTGCGTATGTAAGAGAGCGGAAGGCCAAAGCAGGAAAGTTGAGGTGCCATTTTGAAGAGGGTGTGGCAGGTACAGCTTCTAGGAGAGAAAGTGGTGTTGGACCCAAGACCTGGACCACCCTGGCTAGGAGCCAACGGGAGAGGAGAGGCTTGGCGCAATGATGGGCGCACAGCATGGCGGAAAGGCAGCAGGCAAGTGGGTGGGCACCGCAGGGTCCTCGTGAGGATTTAGGGTTCTTTGGGACCCCG